GGGCAGGGGCGGGACTGGGACAGAGAAGAAGAATTTGGGGAGAGGAGGAGCCCAAGGACCGTCCCACCCAGACCCGTACTCCTAGGCAACGGGCAAGTGAGACCCAAGGAGCTCCTGAACTTGGCAATGGAGGCCTACAGCTTGGTCAGGTCCAGCTTCAGCTTGTAGGGCGGGGGATTGTCTGCAAAGGCGTGCGACGGGGGAGGGTACAGCGGCCAGTCTGGCTCTACCATAAAGCCCTTGTGCTGCTCCAGAGACAGGGGCTGCAGGGGGAGGAAGAGGGAGCGAGGGCTGTGAGTCCCCAGCCTGGCAAGGCTCCTTCCCACCCCTGACCTGAGGTTGCCCCTACTAAGGGTGGGAGTTGTTTCCCCCATTTCATAAGGGGGTGAAGAAGATGGGGGGGGTGGGGTGGGGGCAGGGGCGGGACTGGGACAGAGAAGAAGAATTTGGGGAGAGGAGGAGCCCAAGGACCGTCCCACCCAGACCCGTACTCCTAGGCAACGGGCAAGTGAGACCCAAGGAGCTCCTGAACTTGGCAATGGAGGCCTACAGCTTGGTCAGGTCCAGCTTCAGCTTGTAGGGCGGGGGATTGTCTGCAAAGGCGTGCGACGGGGGAGGGTACAGCGGCCAGTCTGGCTCTACCATAAAGCCCTTGTGCTGCTCCAGAGACAGGGGCTGCAGGGGGAGGAAGAGGGAGCGAGGGCTGTGAGTCCCCAGCCTGGCAAGGCTCCTTCCCACCCCTGACCTGAGGTTGCCCCTACTAAGGGTGGGAGTTGTTTCCCCCATTTCATAAGGGGGTGAAGAAACTTGCCTAATGTCACGCAGCAAGGCAGGGGTCCCCGCCTCCATGGGGGAGGGGGCGGCCCTACCCAGACCAGGGGGCAGTTCTCCTCCCACCCCTGCCTGCGGGCCCCGCCCACCTGGAACTTGAGGTGCTGGCCGGGTGCGGTCACCAGGGTGGAACAGCTCAGCCACAGCATCACCAGCACGGAAAGAAAGAGGCAGCAGGCCAGGATCCAGCGAGGAAGCCCGGAGCGCCTGCCCCACCCAGCAGGCACGCTCAGTGGCCCTAGTTGGGCCAGAGAGTCACTCCCCTCGGGCCCCACCCCCCTCCACCATCCCCAGGGTTCTGCCACCCACCGGGACATGCAACTGAGGAAGTCGTTGTCCTGCAGCTCATCGGACTCCACCTTGGCCTTGCTGCTGGTCTTGACTCGAATCTTGGCCTTCCTTACCTTGTCCAAGGGGCCTACAGGGTCTAAGAGAATAGGTCACCTCTCAGCAGCCTCCAGGCCTTCGCCAAGAGGCGACAGCAGCCATGGAGAACAGAAAGGAGGCCAGGATCTGGGGCAACGGGGCATTGGGTCCTGGAATAAATCAGAACCCTGAAAGATGGACCACGGACCCCTGGGAGATGAACCATGGAACCCTGGGAGATGGACAGTGGAAACTTGGGAGATGCACCATGGAACCCAGGGAGATGGACCAAGGAACCCCAGGAGTTGAGAGATGGAAATCCCAATCCTCAAGGGTTCATTTGTCAGGAGAACCCCTTGTGGCAGTGGAGCCACCTGTGGAAGGAACACTGGTCTAGGCTTAGACCTTACCAACATGCACCTCCAAGGCCTCAGGGTGGGATCCCCGCCAGGTCACCTCCACTCGCTGCAGACGGGCCCCCTCGTGCCCCAGGCTCTCTACCACAGGCTGGGTCTGGGCCAGGAACAATATAGCACAGAGAAGCCCTTTAGAAAGGCACCATCTTGGCCTTAGGAGGCACCTCTCTGTGCCCCCTGTAGGTTACATTGTCTCAAGCCCAGCTGGCACCTAGTTCCACTGGGGACAGAGAGGACACCCTCTATGGAGCTGTGAGCTGTGATACCAGGGATGCCGTTCCCTGCTAATGTGGGGTCCTGATTTGTCTTGCTCCTAAAGTAGGGATGTGATCCAAGGCATGCCAATAGAATCACAGGGATTGGCTGAGAGGTTATCACATGACTGAACCAGGGCCAATCAGCTTAGTTAAAACCTCAGAGAGGTTGTCATCTAGAGCCTCAGGCATCCACCCTGCTGTGAGGAGGGATGTGCTTGCCTGAGAATAAAGCCACCAAAAAGGACAGCAGAGTCCAGCAGTGGAGTGAGACACTGAACCCCTGGATCCAGCTGTGCCTGAAGCTTGTTTCCTGTGGACTTTGCATCCCATGAGCCAAGAACCAACTCATCCCACCTTCTTGCCCTGACCACCCAACCACTACTCTAGTGCGGCCCCTGCCAGCGCCCTCACCTGGAACACCACCACCTTCCCATTGTCAGTCTGCAGGTAGTACGTCCAGGTGGATGAGACGAAGCCCTGCGCCGAGTTGACAAGGTCATTGCAGAGGGTGGAAAACAAGTCCAGGAGCGAGAGGGCCCCACTTGGAGCTTCCAGGACTTTTCTCTGCCAGGGGGAGGCCCAAGGCATAGAAATGTCACCAATGTAGGGCATTAACCAGTGGGAGGGGAGCTGGGAGAATTCATTGTGATCAAAATTCACTAAGTGGCTTGAGGCAACAGGGCTTCATACAATGAACACAGACCTCAGCACTGCATTTGCCTGACTGTGTGCCCTTGGGAAAGTGGATTGCCCTCTCCGAGCCCTGAAAGGGGAATGATTCTCTTCCCTCGTGGGGTTGCTATGAGATTTCAACTAGACAATGGTACAAGTGCCTAATATGTAGTAGCTGCTATTATTAAAAATATCACCATCATTGTTCTTATTTTGACAGCATCAGGAGAGAACTCAGAATAGGAAGAAATGATAGTGCACTATGCTTTTATGAACAGTGAAAGCCTGGAAGGGGTGGAGGAAAATGAGTGAGGAGGGAAAGGGCTTTCTGGGCAAAAGCCCAGCCCATGCGTTTCTGGCTGTGATGAAGGATTTCCTGTGCCTCAGTTTCCCCTGATGCAGCGTTTTCTAGACTCTCTCACAGGCTATGACAGGTGAGCAGTTATTATTTCTCCCTGGAGTGGGGGGAGGGGTACTACATGTGTGCTTGGGAGGCTGCTCCCTGCACCTCCATTCTGAGCCACCCCAGATGACAGTGGCCACTTGTTCATCACAAGGAGAGTGATTAGACCAGTAGCTGGCATGTAGGTGCTCAGTAGTCAGCTCTTGTGGCACTGAAGATGAGGGAGGTGAGGGGTGGTCACAAGCCCTAGTGGCACTGGCTTTAAATCCCACCTCTGCACAGCCCTGTGTGACCTTGGCCAGTTGCTCTGTGGGCATGAAATGAGGATGACACTGTCTCAGGTGCCTCCGCGTGGCCCAAGGAATTTAGGACAGACTGAGGTCAGGCCTGGACCAGGACAAATGCTTGCTAAATAATGTAAACGGTGGCTGTTTTGGGGGCAGCAGGGCCGGGGAGGGGGAGAAGTCACAGAGATGATAATTGAGTCTTGGGATGTGAAATGGCTTAATCAAGGACACCCAGTAGGCCCCGAATGGAATGGAGGCTGGATATGAGTGCAGATTTGGGGGATAGAGGAGAGGGGGGATGGCCCTGGGGCCACAGGTGGGAGGGCGCCCACCTTCTGCTCCAGCTCAGGCTCGGCTTCGGGCTCTGGCTCTGGATTCTGGCTCCAGCAGCCCTCGCTGCAGGCCTGCTGCTCTGTCTCCTTCACATAGGCCTCCACACAGGCTGCAAGAGGCAAGAGAGGGTGACTGGGGGCACAGCCCTTCCCAGGCCATCTCTCCCCACCCTGGCCCACCCATCCAGCCCTTACCTGCTTCACACTCAGCCTGTGTGGCATTGGGCTTGGAACTCCTGGCCACGAATCGGCAGATGGAGAAGAGACGGCAGCCTCGCTCGCAAGCACTGATCAGGACGGCCCTATTATGCGCATTCGCTTTCCGGGACTCAGTGGGGTCCTCCTCCAACTCTTCCTGGAAGCGAATACGTGGGGTTCAGGCCCGGGGAGGGGCAGGAGGAGGGCAGCGCTGGAAGCCCTCATGTGAGGAGGTAGATTTGACCCCCCCCCCAAATCTTCTAAGGGAATTGGGATGAAGTCGGGGGAGGAGGCTAAGCATATTAGCAGGGGCTCTTAGCTCTGAGGAGCAGAGAGGGAGAGGGGGCTTGAGAAAGAGAATAAACAACGGAGGTTACTGGGTTGGGGTAATGGCTGGAAAACTGGGGAAGATCGAGGGAAATGGTCCCCCTCAAGGCTCCAGGGAGGAGGGCTTCTCAGGTCTGAAGAACGAGGCGGGGCTCAGAGGAGGTTTTGTCACCCTTCAGGCCTGGGAAAATTGGGATCCGACTTGGGGGGGCATGAGGATAGGAGTGGGGGCTGGTAGCTCGGGGGGGGGG